TGGAATGACCTGTTAGAGTAGGCTGAAAAGAGACTCGAGTCCATCAATTTCAGTCTTTCCCACATCGATTTTTGCTGTTGATCCGAAGGAAGGCAAAAAACAGCTTGAAGCACTTCCAATTTTGCCACAAACTTGGAAAAAAGTCCTTCCTGACCATAGTCAGATCTCTTTTTGGATCAAGTAACCTATTCATCATAAATTAGCGCATTTGTCAAACTGATGGTACGTGGAGCTGTAACAAGCAAAATAAGGTTTATTCACTGCTATATGTATAATGGTATTTATCATTTGTGTAATTAACGTTCATCCATCGTACCTGTGGGATCTTTTAGGACAAAAGGATAGGCTTGGTGATAAGCCAACGGAATAGGAGTGAAAAAATAGAACTAATTATAAAGAAGATAATCAAATCACATTACATTAACTGCATGAGCATTTAACTTTAATCAGTAAGCTGTATCCAATAAGAAAACTCCAATGTATAAGGCAAAAAAAGGGCCAGTACCTATAGCTATGCTAATAACTGATAAAAAGATAAATGCTGATGGGGAACATAGAAAGGACAATCTTGTAATGACATTATTGTTATGCAGTTTTTCTAAGTCATTTAATGCCATATAATCATTTAATCCTGAAACCATACCGGAGTCAGCATTTACACTAGAGTATGCTAAAGCCATAATGGCCTTAATACCAATCCTCCATAAGTATTTGATTGATAAAATGTTGTGTTTTGACCAGTATTGAGCAAGTGTTCTCATTGTGATCACAATTGTGGCTGTTAAAAGTCGTGAAGTAAAAAATGGATATGAAATAAACAAGTAAGGGAAGGGAAGCACAAAAAGAGAGAACAATTGTTGAAAAGGATTGTTATGGGGAGAAGTGCATAATTGGGAAAAGATAGGAAGGAACACACGTGTAGGGGACAAAAATCAATAGAGGGGCAGATGGGAATTGGAAACAGTACACAAACACTCTTATATATGCACACAAAAACTTTACGTAAATATGCTTCATGCACACAATCACACTCTTTAAAAACACACCACTAAATTCACAAACTAGCACTCTATACAATTACACCTGTCGTTTACATGCACTCATTAACATTCTGCATAAATGTGCTCTGACATACACATTACCATTCAACCACTCAAACAGCCACATACTCTGAACTGATCATATTCCTCTATCCACCCAGTCAGCTAGTCCCATTTTACCTCGCAGTCATACCCATTCACCCTGTCATCTTCACACACATGGCTAAGTAACATCACCTAAACCCCCCCCCCCCCTTGCACTTATTGCCATCAAACCACCTGCCTATTCATATTCACCATACAGACATACCCCAAACTACTCACATTCATCCATCCAAACACTCACACAACAGGTTTCAATGGGGCTGTTGCGCATTGTGGAAACTGGTCTTGGGGCAGCAGAGAGGGTAAATCCAGCTATGCATGTGAGACAGTTGCCCCTTTTGGAATCACTGTTTAGATTGTTGGAATCTGTTACCTGTGTCTTAGTGAAGCCCCCCTAAAGTCACAGGCATTTAATAGGTGTAGGATTTACGAATGAAACAATGTATATGATGTACTGTATCATGTACTGTATCAAGAACAGTGTATGGAGTTTAACTCATAAATGTACCATCAACAATTTAAAGCACACATATGGAAAGGTTTAAAACTATGTAATTAAAGGACCACTATAGTGCTAGGAGAACAAACTCGTTTTCCTGGCGCTGTATGGTCTTTAGGTCCCCCCCATCCTCACGGCCCCCTTCCCGCCAGGTTCTAGGGGGAGGAAGGGGTTAAACACTTATCTTTCTCCAGCGCCAGGCTACCTCGGCGCTGGGGACTCTCCTCCCTCTTCGACCGCATGCACGGCAAGAGCCGCGCTCACATTCAGTCAGTCCATAGGAAAGCATTCTTAATGCTTTCCTATGGACGCTGGCGTCTTCTCACTGCGAAAATCACAGTGAGAAGCGCAGGAGCGCCTCTAGCGGCTGTCAATGAGTCAGCCACTAGAGGCTTGATTAACCCATATGTAAACATAGCAGTTTCTCTGAAAGGGAGTGTTAAGAAACAGTGGTCCTTTAAGAAAAATGATAAACAACTTTTGTATTGATAGAGTGAAATTGTTTGCAATTTCTGTGTAAGTGCTGTTGAGGAGGCCCTAGATTGGGGCACCTTGATCACACCTTTGCTGGTCATCCAAACGGATGTGATGTGTCTTGACTATATTGGTATGCTGTGGACCCATTGAATAGTTGATTGAATGCTACCTTCACAATGAATTGAATTGTCATGTTCAAATAGCCGTATATCAGTTTCACAAGTGGAAATTTGTGATCTTAAAATTCTAACAAAAAGCTTAGCAAACACAGGTCAAACGGTAGTTGCAGATAATGTTTTTGTCACTTTTATACTAAATACACTCATGTCTGCCACAGTTTCCATGTAAGGTATGACAGTAAAATGTAGAAGGTTTGTATTTGGTTCACCAAGACTAACTCATAGACAAGCATTGATCTCGCAACCCACAGAAACACAGAATTCCTGTTTTTAGCATTGACAAAGATGTCAATGGTCTGTTGTCAGTTTCAAAAATCTTTTGCTTCTATTAATTTCGCACATTCCTCTAGCCACCTTCTTGAGGCATTTGTTTCTTTTAAAGAAATTGGACATCCTTGCTTGCTCAAACATCTCTCAAGAATTCTAAACAAAAGCTTCAAAGCAAAGAGACAGTAAGTAAACAAGGGGTAGAGGGTTATACAGGGACTCACGTAACATAATGATCATCATCTCCTAAAACCTAATTAATCAGACTATGCCTTATAACATCTGCTGTTCTTTTAGATGTCCTGTCTCCTAAAACAGATGTTTACTGAGATTACACCTCCTTTGAGAGCCAGTTTGTGATGATTTCAGAGAGAGATAATTTCTGTACACTTCCTCTAACATAGGAAAGGAGAGGATAGTGTGGATATTGCTCTTTAGTAAGCTATTGAGATGAAAGGAGTACATTCAATACTGGTTTTGTCTCTGGACAAAAATATCTCCATATAAACTTTGTGCAATACATACTGTATCTGTAAAGATAAACATAGCAACAACAAAAAAAGAAGTCTGCACATACAGCACATGTAGACAGTCACAACTATAAGACAGTAAAAAGGCAGAAAGAAAAATGACAAAATGCACAAAAGAAAAAACAATTAATTAACTATTGTATCTCGGATAAATTAGCATCATAAATAACTTCGACAAGACACCAAACTTTTACGGACTTCTGTTCTTTTATTTACCCGGCAACAAAACGAAAATCGTTTCAAAATCTTTGAAAAATGTCATCTGTCATGTAAAACGAAAAATTAGAAATACATTTAAAAAATTGTGTAAACATTTTTTTGTTTTTGTCTCTGACACTTTAAATTGATAAGTTACAAATGTATAAAGGGAGCACTAAAATAATTTCAAAAAATGTATTAACCCTTTATGGATGGAGGCAATTATACAAGTTCTGATAAAAACTATACCTAGAATTTGAGTTATATGTTTGTTCAACCAAAATGTACCTCTTTCATATTAGGTGCACCCACACTTATTACATTTCATTTTGTTGAGGAGAAACAGGACTTTGCATTAAATATTTATATATGGAACATAATTTAATATGAATAAAATCTACAAAAGTTTGAGAAATTAAGAAATTGTTATTTTACAAGTTCTGTATGATATTTTTAACTGTAAATGTCATAATACTGCTACCTTTTACTGCAATAAGATACACATATTTGTGATCAGTGAGGTCTCACAAGTACAACAGTATCCACCATGTACAGGTGGCTTTATGGGGTTTGGGAAAGTTATAAAGACAAATATAGGTCTTTCCCCTTTTCAGTTTTTACACATTAAAAATTTGCCAGAGTGATTTGCTAGGCCTATGTTGTCTTCAAAACCATATTGCAGTCCAGGAATTAGAATTACCCCTGTGGCGGAACAGACCTCGCCACGTGTTCTTGGAGGGGGCTGCTTGCCCGTCTCCTACCTTCTGACTATGGCCCTGTGATATATGGCATTTGAAAACACTATTTGTACCCTGTGACAAAACTGGAGTTTGTGCACAAATATGACTATTGTCCATATTTTTTATGATTCCCTTCGTTTGTTGCACTGTTCCCCATGTGTTTCATCTGTTGGTCCGGCTGGATAGACTACCAGACAAACTGTGGAGTTACTGGGTGGCCACCATTTCATGTATCAGAGGCACATGGTGAGAACAATGGATGGCGGCCATTTTAACTCACAGACACTGTTTGGACTTTGCTACACGGTGCCATCTCGCCGGTATTTGGTGCACAAAGACATCGTGCAGTAGTTTTAAACTATACAACAGGGGACACATTATACAGTAATTAATTTTCATATAGCCTGTATAAGTTATGCTGAATCTGCATTAAACTGTATCTTCCAAACTACTGAACGGATCTGGGTGAATTTTGGATATGTGGTTCACCCAGATCCCCCGGTTCTGAGGATATATGGGGTTATTTGCATGTTTTTATGGGGTTATTGCATGTTTTGGGATCCCTGTGATATGTTTTATAATTTCTCTGCCTGTGATAATTATATTAACCATTGTGTTCAGTAATCATATCACAGGCAGTGGGGAGGTATTTTTTACAGATTATATGTATATGTTTATCTTATTACATTATTATTATCTTATTATTTATAGCGCTGTATTATAAATCAACGGTTACAATTCTCCAGCTATGCATCGAAAACTCCTTATGCCAAATGCAAACCAAAGGTCTTCCTTTTTTTTTTTTGGATCAAGGACTTTTATTACGTTTACACAGGGAGGCACTGTATATATACACACACAGCTGGATGAATTATTTCCTGCTGGACTCCTCTTCCTTTGACAAAGTTTTAATAATCTCCTCTTTCTTGGCATGAAGTCTTTCTTCACAGCGCTTCTTTGCCTCTTTTGTCTTGGACCTGCGTGCCTCGGCCTGATCAGCCAACTGCTTCTTGTGAGCTTTGTCTGCCTTCAGTTTTTGAATGTACTCCATGAGGATACGTTTGTTCTTAAACAGATTACCCTTCACTTTCAGGTAAAGGCTGTGGCACATGTGCCTGTCGATCTTCTTAGATTCATGGTAATGACTGAGCAGACGACGCAAGATTCTCATTCTCCTTCCCCAGGAAAGTTTCTCACACATACTGGCATTGGCCGTACCCTTTCTCTTACCGACACCTATGTGTCTGCCCTTTCTACGTGCAAGGGTGTTCTTGCAACAGCGAGCACGAGAGTGGACAGTCACAGGCTTGCGGATGATCAGACCATCTTTAACCAACTTTTGGATCTGCTGACAAGAGTTTGCATTGGCAATTTCATTGGTCTAATTGTGATCCAGCCATACTTTCCTCTTGCCACAACACATCAAGCTGTAGGCGAGCCTCTACTGCAGTCTGAGCATGCTCATGGCGGCTGCTCGGCTTCAGCTCGGATAGCAAAGCAGATCTTCCTTTCTTGTGTAAAATAAAAGCAAACGGGCAGCACTTCTTACCAAATCTACCTTGAAGATCTAGAACAGGTTCTCCTCCTGTGTGGCAACTTGGGATCCAAGATAACCAGCTCCCAAATGGTACAAAACACATTACAAGAATTTAAACGAACTTATAGGCATAACTGATTTTAGCAGAGGCATAGCTATTTATGCTGCTCAGTAAGTTTATGTGTGTAATAAAAATGAAGAATTAGTCAAAGTGAGCAAATTTACCATTTAAAAAAATGAGGACTAAGTTTGGGTTATTAACATAATTTGAGTCATTGTCACTAGTTCTTAAAAACCACTGTACAATGCATGCAACATAAACTTTTATTGAAGTATTATAGCATCATATTAATTAAGTACAAATGCTCAATTTAAACTATGAAATAATTATAAATTAAGTACAATGAAAATGCAAAATAGAGCAATAAATGGGAGAAGACTCAACTTTTTGACACTGGATAATTTTTCCTTTGTTTTGGAGTAAAACTGAAACTTGGACTCTTTTATCTGGAAAAGATTGTCAAGAGTGTGTTTTTTTTCTTCAAATATAAAAAACAGCCATCCTGTGCAGTGTAGTGGCACATCCTGAGGGCAATGAGTTTAGTACCATTTTCTGGCTCATTAGTTCAAAGCCATTGCTGCCTTTTGACCTTTTACCAGCTATTTTTTTTAACTCATATCCTCTCAATGGTTTACATTTGGTCATATACTTGAATTAAACAGCTTATTAAAGGAATACTAAAAGCACATTAATCACTACAGTGCCACCACTAAAATGACAGCAATGTTTTGACTTTGCTAGGGGGATTTGTTAAGTCCAGATCAACATGCAACTGACAAACATTACATGTTTACAGTGCATTAATTATATACAATTTAAAAAAAAGAGAAACACGATTATGAAAAGGATTGCTAATGTAGCTCAAATTGCTGAAAAGCGTAATGTTGGCCATGATAGAAAGGTGTTGAAGGAAAAGAAAAAAATACAAACGCAAGAAATACAAATGTACCTAAACAACAGAGTGGTAGGAATATACACGAGTACTTAACTTGGTATGAGATGAATGCAGCTTCCCAAGAGGTTACCCCCAAATGAACCTCAAATGCAGATATGTAAATGGACAAAATAGGGATACAGCTGAATGGCTAAAAAATATAAGAATACATAGTACATAGTGAAGTACCGTCACAATAATAAAATATAAACTTCAATGATTGCACTCACAAAATAGTGATGGATAATGCGCCTTTAAGCCCTCAAGGGCTGCAGTGGTATTCACCCTCCACGAATAGGTTGCTCTGTCTTCAAAGAAGTGGGAGTATGCCAGTGAAGTATAAAAATTTTTTTTATTATTATTAAAAGGCACTAATAAGCCTATATCAAAAAATCAATAGTTAAAAGTATACAAATAATACTGCATCTAACGCGTTTCGTCCATACAAATTGGACTTCATCAGAGAGAATTTTTTGCAGTATACACAATATGTCAAATACAAAGCATGCATAATCCCACCCCCAACAGAGTCCCTTAAATATAACCAGTCCGTTTGTTGATTGGAGAGTTCCTTTGTAGGCAGTCCCTCTTCAATAAAATCAATATTTTCCAGGTGATCGCCACCTTAAAATTCGCGGCTAAGACCAGCTGGTAATCCGTCCGGTAATGTTCTGCGTTCCAAATCACAACTTCCGGTTGCGTTCCACACATGGATTTCCGGCGGCGAAATAACCACGCACGTCACAAGCACTGGCGTTGCGTTCCAAGATCGGGCACATGCGTTCCAAACGACCGGCCCTTTGGATTGCTAAGAAGACTAAAAGGAGCAGTCTTAAAATCATTTAAACATCAAAGTAACAATTCTCATAATACAAATTCAACCACATCAAATTTGAAAAAGGACTTCAATCCTCTGCCACAAAGAAACTAAATATTAATAGAAATCTATAAATAATGAAAAAAGTAAATAATGTGCACAAAACAATAAAGAATAAAAAATGAAATAAAATAAATGAATGAATGAATAAAAAATAAAAAATAGTAAAAAATAATAAAAAAAATAAATATATATATAATAAATAAAAATAAAATTAAAATAAAATAAAAATAAAAATAAAAATAAAAATAAAAATAGAAAAATAAATAAAAATTAATAAAAATTGGAAAAAAATATATGTAATTAAATATAAAACAGGCAGAAGATGGAAATCCCCAATGGTGTAGGTTATCAAAACTTTAAACCATAAAGCTAGCCAAGTCCACATCGATGTTTAAACCTTTAGGTGACAAAGTGTCCAAATGGTAGATCCAATAAGTCTCCCGTTGTGCTAATTTCAATTCCCTATTCCCTCCTCTCCAGTGAGGGGACACATGTTCTATACCACAGCCCTTGAAATCTCTCCAATTGAAGGCCTGGCACGTATTACAGTGGACTGGCACTGAATGAGTAGTCATACCTTTCTTTATATTGTTTATATGTTCCATAAGACGTACTTTTCATTATTAATAGATTTCTATTAATATTTAGTTTCTTTGTGGCAGAGGATTGAAGTCCTTTTTCAAATTTGATGTGGTTGAATTTGTATTATGAGAATTGTTACTTTGATGTTTAAATGATTTTAAGACTGCTCCTTTTAGTCTTCTTAGCAATTCAAAGGGTCGGTCGTTTGGAACGCATGTGCCCGATCTTGGAACGCAACGCCAGTGGTTGTGACGTGCGTGGTTATTTCGCCGCCGGAAATCCATGTGTGGAACGCAACCGGAAGTTGTGATTTGGAACGCAGAACATTACCGGACGGATTACCAGCTGGTCTTAGCCGTGAATTTTAAGGTGGCGATCACCTGGAAAATATTGATTTTATTGAAGAGGGACTGCCTACAAAGGAACTCTCCAATCAACAAATGGACTGGTTATATTTAAGGGACTCTGTTGGGGGTGGGATTATGCATGCTTTGTATTTGACATATTGTGTATACTGCAAAAAATTCTCTCTGATGAAGTCCAATTTGTATGGACGAAACGCGTTAGATGCAGTATTATTTGTATACTTTTACTATTGATTTTTTGATATAGGCTTATTAGTGCCTTTTAAGAATAATAAAAAAAATTTTTTATACTTCACTGGCATACTCCCACTTCTTTGAAGACAGAGCAACCTATTCGTGGAGGGTGAATACCACTGTAGCCCTTGAGGGCTTAAAGGCGCATTATCCATCACTATTTTGTGAGTGCAATCATTGAAGTTTATATTTTATTATTGTGACGGTACTTCACTATGTACTATGTATTCTTATATTTTTTAGCCATTCAGCTGTATCCCTATTTTGTCCATTTACATGATAGAAAGGTGTCAGAACAGTTTGCTGCATATTGGACTGTGTAGCTGCAGACCAGTCAGAGTGCCCATGATAACCTCTGTCCACTGAGAAAGTGCCTTCAATGGGGACATGAGCGTCACAACTGTACCATGAAGCAATAGGAGAAGGTTGCTTATAAATAACATTTTCTTTTAGATCAGACGAATTCCAGGTTGCATCTGCGTCATTTACCTGGGAAAGTGATGGCAACAGGATGCACTATGGAAAGAAGTCAGGCTGGCAGAGACAGTGTTATGCTGTGGACAATATTCTGCTGAGAAGTCTTGGGTCCCGGCATTCATGTGGATGTTACTTTGACAAATACCACCTACCTAGAGATTGCTGCAGACCACATAACCCCTTCATGGTGTACCTTGATGTCCGCGGCCTGTTTCTGCAGGATAACACACACTGCAAAAATTGTTCAGGATTGGTTTGAGGAATATGACAAAGAGTTCAAACTGCACGCAGTTTAGGGAATAAGATCCATGAACATGTGGCAATAATGGCAACTGATAATGTAGATTTAGTCGCTGTTACTGAGACATGGTATAATGAGAAAAAATGACTGGGACATAGCAATACCAGGGTACTCTTTCTATAGAAAAGACAGGGAAGGCAATAAATGGGGAGGGGTGGCCCTGTATGTGAAGGATAGCATAAAATCTAGCCTAATAAAAGTTAGTGAGGCGAACATATAGTCCGTCTGGGTTACGTTAGAATTTGGAGATCACACAGTAACTCGTGTAGGTATGATTTATAGGCCCCCAGGACAAATAGAAGAGTTAGATAATCTACTAGTTTAGAAAGTAGTTAAAATGACAATGAAGGGGGAAGTTATCATCATGTGTGACTTTAATCTTCCTGATGTGAACTGGAAAACCAAAATAGCCGCTTGTGCCAGGAGCACACATATTCTAAACTCCTTACTGGGATTGTCTCTAAAAAAAGTTGTTGAGGAGCCAACTCATAAAGAGGCTATACTAGATTTAGTGTTAACAAATGGAGATTTGGTATCAGATATTACTGTAGTTAAAAGTTTAGGATCCAGTGATCATCAGTCAGTGTGGTTTAATATAAGAATGGTGACTGAGTCACACCACACAGAAACAAAAGTTTTAGACTTTAGAAAAAGCCACAGAAAAAAAAGAAAAAATGCAGGCAGACTTAGGATATCCAACAAATCCCAGTCTGTCTACATTACCTGGAAATAATATATAGCAATGTAGTATGGAATGATACTGGCTAAAAAATACCAGGTGAAGACAAACTAGTAAGAGATATAAAGTAAGTATATCCTCAATACTAATATTCCTATGCTCTCTGAAAAGGATGCACGTAGGATAAAACAAGACCTGGCAATATGTCATATAAATAAATATGAACCCTTATTCCTATATATCAGCTTTAATAAAATATGTATACTAAATAGGAAGGGGTATTCATATAGCAGTCTAAATGCCAGTGTCTATCTTCCTGGGTGCAAAATCCCACAGATGTCCTGTATATATATATGTATGGTAAAGTCAATAAAATAGACGTCTGCTGCAAGTATGTGCAAACACCAAAGTGAGTTTGTATTTAAAACAAACCATATGGGAGGAAAAATCTTGCAGAGCAGCAGACCTTGCATATATACAGGAATTAAAAGTCCAGAATTAATCCTAGGAGGAGAGACTCAGATAAAGAATAAAGAAAAGAAGTTTGTAGAAACAAATGGTCAGTCAAAAATGAACTGCCATATATATTTAAATTTATAAAGCCTCTCTCCCTGGTAAACTAACTAGACAGGCATAGTTACAAAGGAAAGAAAGCAAAAAAGAGAATGTGCTAAGTGCAATTCATAGTGCTAGGGTGCCATTCAGTGCCCAATGTGAATTTGGCTGGAGCAACTTAAATGGAGTCCAAGAGAAATAGGATTATTTAAAAGTTGCACTGCGGAAGGCAACAGAAAATTTCAGTAGGCTTCTCAGTAAAAGCAGAAAATTTAAGAAACCACTGTGGTACTCCGCAGATGTGGCCAAAAAAGTAAAAAACTAAAAGTTAGCATTTGGTGATTATAAAAAAACCCAGAGTGAGGAAGATAGACAGATCTATCAGATTAGGCAGAAAGTGGCTAAGCAAGTTATAAGAGCTTCCAAATCACACACAGAAGAGAAAATAGCACAATAGACAAAACATTTTTTAGATCCATAAATGAGAAAAGGGAAAGTAAAACAATGATTAGTTAGATTAAAAACAAAAGAAGGAAGGTATGTAGAAGAGGATAAAGGTCTAGCCGACTGCCTCAGTGGATATATTTGTTCATTATTTATAGATGGAAATGAAGGAAAGGGGCTTCAGTTAGGAAAAAGGACAAATGAGTAATTTGTTACATGTGAGTTTACAGAGGAAGAGGTTCTATTTCAACAGTCAAAAGTAAAGACAAATAAGTCAATTGGGACCTGATGGAATACACCCAAAGTTATTAAAAGAGCTTAGTGGTGTACTAGCAAAACCATTAACAGATTTATTTTACCAATCATGGTTAACAAGACTAGTCCCAGAAGATTGGAAGTTAGTGAATGTTGTGCTCATTCACAAGAAAGGTAGTAGGGAGGAGCCGGACAACTTATAGGCCAGTAAGCCTTACTTCAGTAGTGGGGAAAGTAATGGAAACCATGTTAGAGGATAGGATTGTTGAACATATAAAATCACATGGCTTTCAAGATCAGAGACAACATGGGTTTACTTCAGGGAGATCATGCCAAACTAATCTTATTGATTTTTTTGATTGGGTAACTAAAATTATAGATCAGGGTAGTGCAGTAGACACTGCTTACCTAGATTTCAGTAAGGCGTTTGACACTGTTGCACATAGAAGGCTTATTAATAAACTTCAATCTTAAAGTTTGGATTCCAATATTGTTGAATGGGTAAGGCAGTGGCTGAGTGACGGGCAACAGAGGGTTGTAGTCAATGGAGAATATTTGAAGAATGGGCTTGTCACCAGTGGGGTACCTCAGTGATCTTGAACCCATTCTCTTTAATATTTGTATTAGTGAAGGTCTCGAGGGTAAGGTATGTATTTTTGCTGATGATACAAAGATATATAACAGGATTGATGTTCCAGGAGAGATAAGCCAAATGGCAAATGATTTAGGTAAACCTGAAAAATGGTCAGAGTTGTGGCAACTGACATTTAATGTGGATAAGTGCAAGATAATGCATCTTGGACATAAAAAAGCATAAGGCTATCCTAGCTTTAAGATAAGGCCAGGGACTAATGAAAGTATATAGAAAACTGAGCAGACTAGATGGGCCGAATGGTTCTTATCTGCCGTCACATTCTATGTTTCTATGCTTTGCCTCCTTAGTTGAGATCATCAAAAGTTTTTGGGAGGCTATCAAGCATGTGTGGCATACCGCAGTGCTGCGCCAATCAGCAACTTCTCATAGAGATGCATTGCATGAAAGCATCTCTGTGGGGAACATTCAGAGCCTCCATGCAGAGCATGGAGACACTGAAAGTCAGTGCTGCACAGTGGAAGGAAGCACTTTTAGTGGATGTCTGAGTGAATGCCACTATAGGTGTTACTAGGCAGAAATGTATACACTGCCTTTTTTATGAAAAGACAGTGTTTACATTAAAAAGCCTGCAGGGGCATACTTTACACACCAGAACAACTACATTAAGCTGCAGTTCTTCTGGTGACTATAGTGTCCCTTTAATTTTCACCAAGTCTGTCACAACTGTTTATTTTGCAGCCTACCTTTATTTTCCTCATATAGTCGCAGTGACACAGAGGGGAACCTGAGATCACTGGTCAGTGATGTATTTAGGATTTGTGCTGCCTTAGCCAGGACAGTGCTCTGGCACGCTCCCCCTTAATTTAAATTTCCCCCACCCTTTCCTGTTAAGGCCGCACTTTGACTGACAGATGCTCACTCGCTGACAGACACACACTCTCATATACACTGACAAACAATGACATACACACACACTATAACTTGGACACTCACTGACCGACGCATACACACTCACTGACCGACGCATGCACGCATACACGCACACAGACACACACATAGACACTTACAGACACACACACGCACACATTCACTTAGACATTTCCACCAACACTCACAAACTAATATTTTTAAAATTCTCCCTGTGAGAGCTGGAGTGGAGATGCTTACCTGCAGTCCAGTAAGGCTGCTGTTCGGGCAGGGGGCAGACAGGCTGAGTAGATGGCGCTTAGTGATGCCGGGAGCCGATCGGACGTCATATTCCAACTCCCGGCTTCATTAAGTGGCGCAGAGGGAGCTGAGCAGGAAGTGCTCAGGTAATATGCTCCGTCGCTGTCCGCTGCCCACCGCCAGCCTCGGGGGGTTCAAAAGTGGCCAGCCGGCCAGCTCTTGAGCCCCCCAGGACAAGAGGCAAACAAGGGGAGGGGTATTTGGGGGCGGCTTTTTTTGCCGCCCCCTGCAAAGTGCCACCCAAGGCAGATGCCTTGTTTTCCTCATGATAGACACATCCCTGTCACTGGCTAAATGAATGCTTCTCAAATGTCCTCAGAAGCCTTAAAATTAAAATCAAAATTCTGAACAGTTGATGGATTCTGTGGTTGGCAATAAATACATTTAAAACACAGAATATAATAAAAATAAAAGTCATGCATTGCACATTTTGTACTTGAATTAATGCCTATTTCTCCAAATGGAATAAAGCTAATGTTGTTTGATGGCTGACTTTTGAGATTTATAGATACATGCTGTGACGAGACCAATCTCGCCACATTGCATTGGAGAAGCCTGGTTCCTCGCCTGTTGCCTTTGGATTATGGCCCCATGTTAAAAGGCTTGATTTTCCCCTGCAAAGACATGAAAGCCGGGTCATTTGGTGCTTGCCCTGTTTGAGCGGTGATACCCCAGATAGCTATGCCATGGAGTTCGCTGATTCTGAAAATGTAAGTTTTATGTGAATGTGATGCATACTTTTCAAGTTATGAATAATGTGGAAAAACTGTATTTCTCTGCCGGTGATAATTACATTACCCATTGTGTAAGGTAATTGTATCACAGGCAGAGGGGAGGATTTTGTGTGGAAGTGTCTGAGTGTATTGTATGTGTTTATTGGTTGGTTTCCAAAACCCTGTGGGTGGTACTAATGTGTATATAAGAACAATAAACCCACAGCTCTGTCTGTTCACTGCTTGACCCTCAACACGGAGCTTTGTCTCGTTCTTGGGGGGATTTATTGTATGCTGTTCCAGTTTGACTGCTAGGAGTGTAAACCTATTCGTATGGTTTTTCCTATTCAGCTGTTTACAGCATTCCAGTGCTTGAGAGCATTCACATCCTTCTCCGGTTCGGTGGATTGGTGTCTACAGTAGCTACCTGTGTCTCTGGAAGGGGAAGATCTTCTAAACGGCGGTTTAACCCTTTTATGCCTGGGGGTGCCGTTACAATTGGTGGCAAGTGGCGGGATCGTTCCTACAGCCAGAAGGACAGCTACAGGAGACACCATTTCTTTGGATTTTACAATTTGAGGGCAGCGCATGTCCCAGTACAGCGACCCTGACAGCACCAGGATGGAACCAGCAGTGGAGTACGATGAGGGTGTCATGGATGACCGAGATGCAGTTCGCAAAGGCATCTGGTACCAGGCACTGGGTATTGAGGAGTACCAGCGGGGCGAGAGACTCCCCAAGGAAGACCAGCGATTGCAGAAGCGACTAGCCCTGCGGATGCCCTTCCTGGAAGAGCAGCCCCTGGATGAATGGGTGAAGGAATTGGAGCTCCGGGTATGGCAGGAGATGTGGCTGGAAGATGCCTACCAGGCGCTCTGGTGGTATGGGGCACAGTACCTGCCCTGGACAGCTGAGCATAACAAGCAAGAGGGAGAGGAGTTTGATGGTCCTGGCTTGTTATGGGAGGCTTTTTCAGAGCCTGAGTTTGGGAGCCCTACACAAGCCCGGTTCAGTGATCTCTTGGAGTGGAGGGAGAGCAGGTATGACTGGAATGACACTCATGAGATCGAGCAAGACCTGGTCCACCTAGTGACCCGAGAGATGGAGCTGGAGCAGGGCTACCAAGATCTGTTCCACTCCAGTGAGAAGGCTCAGCAGGGAAGCGGAGACCCAGATCCAGACCCATTCAGCTGGGTAGATATTGCAGAGTATTACAGGGAAGAACCCCAGGTGGTTGGTGGAGATGGGACCGAGGTCTCTCCACCGATCCTGCAGGGAATTGGGAGCCCAGGCTCCATTCCCCAGCGGCAGGCTGAGTTACAGGGGACAGAGACAGTTGGTCCTGTCCCCCAGCGGCAGTGTACCTTGCAGGGAGAGGAGAGCAGCGTCCTCCCTCACCAGTGGCAGGGTGAGCTACAGGGATGCTGGGCGGTCGGCTCAGATCCCCAGCGGCAGAGTATATTGCAGGGAATTGGGAGCCCAGGCTCCATTCCCCAGCGGCAGGCTGAGTTACAGGGGGCAGAGACAGTTGGTCCTGTCCCCCAGCGGCAGTGTACCTTGCAGGGAGAGGAGAGCAGCGTCCTCCCTCCCCAGTGGCAGGGTGAGCTACAGGGATGCTGGGCAGTCGGCTCAGAACCCCAGCAGCAGTGTGAATTACAGGGAATTGGGAGCCCGGTCTCCATTCCCCAGCAGCAACCTGAGTTATTGGGAATTGGGAGCCCAGTCTCCATTCCCCAGCGGGAGATACAGCAGGGAATTGGGAGCCCAGTCTCCATTCCCCAGCGGCAGAATGTCCTACAGGGAATAGAGAGCCCAGTCTCCTTTCCCCAGCAGCAGGACTCTGTATTGGGAGCAGAGACAGTCGGTCTCCCTCCCCCGCGGCCTGAAGTATATATGGGAGAGGAGCTGGTTACCCCCTCTCCCCAGCGGCAGCTTAACGTACCAGGGGGAGACAGTAAGCCCCACAACTGTGCAGATGGGACCGTGGTCTCTGCACTTACAGCACAGGGGGTAGGGACGGTCAGTTCTGCCCCCCAGCGACAGGGCTGTTTAGCCAAAGGGGAGACAGTCGGTCTCCTCCTCCAGCAACCGAGCGGTGTAACCAAAGGGAAGACAGTAGGTCTCCCCCTCCAACAACCAGGCTTCAACCAGGCTACTCCCGTGGTAGTGCTGGCACCAGGGCAGAGTACCGCTGGTCTCTACCCACTCAGCAACCCACCAAGTCAGCTTACCAGTCACCCACACAGCCGTGGTGAGGCACCTGCACATGGACAAAGTTCTCCTCTACCCAGGTGTAGTAACCATTTATTATGGGTGGGCTGGGTTACTGTTTGTTTGTTGTGGGTGGGCTGCTGGACTAACAAGGGCACTGACCGGCAGGAGGTTAGATACCCTGTTAGTCTGTTTGGAAAAGGGGAGAGATGTGACGAGACCAATCTCGCCACATTGCATTGGAGAAGCCTGGTTGCTCGCCTGTTGCCTTTGGATTATGGCCCCATGTTAAAAAGCTTGATTTTCCCCTGCAAAGACATGAAAGCCAGGTCATTTGGTGCTTGCCCTGTTTGAGCGGTGATACCCCAGATAGCTATGCCATGGAGCCCATTCGTATAATGAAAGACTATGGGAAAGACTTTGGCTCCATGGCAATTGAACTGTATGTGTGTGCTCTGAGCGCCATTCAGTAATAATGTGCGCTCAGATCTGAGCTATCTGGGTATATGTTGAATGTACCTGTTTTGTGCAATGGCTGCACAGTTATATGTTTTTATGTGTTTTATTGTCTTTTGCCGCCATGTGTTCAATGGAGTTTTGCCTCTGTCCTTGGAGATAATTGGATTACTTCCCAATTATCTCCAGGATAGAAGACTCTGTGGAACTGGTTTTGGGCAGAAAAGCCATGCTTCCTTTGGTCATAAAGGACTACGATCTATATTTTGAACCACTGGACCAATTTGTATGATTTTGACGTATGTTTATGTGAATGTGATGCATACTTTTCAAGTTATGAATAATGTGAAAAACTGTATTTCTCTGCCGGTGATAATTACATTACCCATTGTGTAAGGTTTTTGTATCACAGGCAGAGGGGAGGATTTTGTGTGGGAGTGTCTGAGTGTATTGTATGTGTTTATTGGTTGGTTTCCAAAACCCTGTGGGTGGTACTAATGTGTATATAAGAACAATAAACCCACAGCTCTGTCTGTTCAATGCTTGACCCTCATATAGCTACCCTTGATAAAGGCTACCAGGAGGAGCCGAAACGTTGGGGGATTGTTTGTGACTCGTGTTTCTGCCCTTATAGGCTTGTTGAATTTGGTAAATATACTGTTTAAACTTTTTTGCCTTTTTTGGTCACTGTTACATTTTATATGTAAGATTTGGATTTGTATTATAATAAATATATTTAGATATATATTATTGTGTTAGTTGGTGTGCATTCCTTTCTTTTTTTGAACAATGCTTGACCCTCAACACGGAGCTTTGTCTCGTTCTTGGGGGGATTTATTGTATGCTGTTCCAGTTTGACTGCTAGGAGGGTAAACCTATTCGTATGGTTTTTCCTATTTGGCCGTTTACAGCATTCCAGTGCTTGAGAGCATTCATATGCTTCTCCGGTTCGGTGGATTGGTGTCTACAGTAGCTGCCTTTGTCTCTGGAAGGGGAAGATCTTCTAAACGGCGGTTTAACCCTTTTATGCCTGGGGGTGCCGTTACACATGCATTATATAACTTGTGGTCAACTGTTTATTTGACTTTTTTGTAACTGCCTTTTGTAGGTCTATGATCTAAAAAAAACAAAAAAATAACAACAACATGAGACTTGCTGAAAAAATAAACAGAGTCCAACTTTTTTTCCCACGATCAGAATAGCTCCAGGATATGCTAATTTCTCAAATTATTCAATTTACAGCTATTTGTTTGATTTAAGTGATCATTTTAGGTCACGCTCTGCGCTTTGATTAACTAGCTTTTAATCACCATTTAAAAAAAAGAATATCTACCCGTTTACCATTTTGTTATTGCAGGGTAGTCATTTTTTCCAGTACAGTTAATGACGGGTGAAAAGGTTTTCTTGGCCATGCTAATGGCATGTAAATTAGTCACAGCAGATTGAATCAGTACGTATTTTGTTTTTTTTAAAAACCCCATTACATCAGTGATTCATTGGAAGACTTATTAATATACATATAAAAAAAAAACTTAAATAAAAAAAAATGGCTTAGAACCATATGCAGCCCATCCAAAATGTAGTCTTTGCAGTTTCATTTGAATACTGCTAATGAACCATTGAATCCATAGGCGTGCGCACGGGGTGTGCCGGGTGTGCCTGGGCACACCCTAATCCCCGCTGCACGCACTATGTGCCTCCCTCCATGGGCCAGTCAGGGAGATCAAAGATCTCCCTCACCAACCCACAGGCAGGGAGGGAGGCAGGAGAGGACCCGTGGAGCTCTTGTCAGCAGTTCCGCCGGGTTCCTCTCCCACGGTCGGAGCGTTGCCGCGGTTACCGCGGCAACGCTCAGATCTTGCAAGAGTGAACTCTAGCCCAGCAGGTTAGAGTTCACTCTCCACTGGACCACCAGGGAAGGCAGGAGCACGGTCCCCCCTCCCTACATAAGGTAAGAAGGGAGGGGGGATATTAACTAAACGGCCTCCACACCCCCACACATTACACACATACATCACCCTTACACACACAGCACACACACACACACTAACAGCACCCTCACACTAACAACACCCTTACACACACAGCACCCTCACACATACACACACACAGCACACACTAACAGCACCCTTACACGCAGCACCCTCACACACACAGCACACACTAACAACACCCTTACACACACATACTAACAGCACCCTCACACTAACAACACACTTACACACAGCACCCTTACACATACACACACAGCACCTTCACACACACAGCGCCCGCACACACACAGCGCCTGCACACACACAGTGCCTTCACACACAGCACCTACACACAGCACTCTCACACACACACAGCAGTGTGTGTGTATGTATGTGTATATATGTGTATGAACCATTGAAACCATAGGCGTGCGCACGGGGTGTGCCTGGGCACACCCTAATCCCCGCAGCACACACTATGTGCCTCCCTCCATGGGCTACACATATATGCACATACACATACATAAACACACACTGCTGTGTGTGTGAGGGTGCTGTGTGTAGGTGTTGCGTGTGTGTGTGTGAAGGCACTGTGTGTGTGCAGGCGCTGTGTGTGTGTGCGGGCGCTGTGTGTGTGAAGGTGCTGTGTGTGTGTGTATGTGTAAGGGTGCTTTGTGTGTAAGGGTGTTGTTAGTGTGAGGGTGCTGTCAGTATGTGTGTGTAAGGGTGTTGTTAGTGTGTGCTGTGTGTGTGAGGGTGCTGTGTGTATGTGTGAGGGTGTTGTTAGTGTGAGGGTGCTGTTAGTGTGTGTGTGTAAGGGTGCTGTGTGTGTGAGGGTGCTGTGTGTAAGGGTGCTGTTAGTGTATGCTGTGTGTGTGTATGTGTGAGGGTGCTGTGTGTAAGGGTGTTGTTAGTGTGAGGGTGCTGTTAGTGTGTGTGTGTGTGTGCTGTGTGTGTAAGGGTGATGTGTGTGTGTGCTGTATGTTTGTGTGTAATGTGTGGGGGTGTGGGGGCCGTTTAGTTAATATCCCCCCTCCCTTCTTACCTTATGTAGGGAGGGGGGACCATGCTTCTGCCTTCCCTGGTGGTCCAGTGGAGAGTGAACTCTAGCCTGCGGGGCTAGAGTTCACTTTTGCGAGATCTGAGCGTTGTGTATATACATATACGCGGCATGTGTGTTTCTGCTTTAGGGTATATTGAATCATAATGTTTCACACTGCTCATTCTTTTTTTCCCCACTTAGTTTAACACAGTCTCTCTCTCTCTCTCTCTCATGCAAAACCTGCTGCTTTTAGCTTTGAAGAGGAACAGTCAATTCTCTGAAAAATGCACAATTGAATAAAACATTTAAAAATCACCTATAACTTGTGTTAAACGTTTAATGAGATGTTACATTTATAGTACAGATTTAGCAAAACGCATTACAATGCAGTTCAGAGAAGGCAAAGCCTGCACAAACATTGCAAAAGATGAAGTAAAATAGGAGTTTATATCAATGATTGGCTGCTCTCAGTTGCAGAATAAAGAGGTGTGCATTTCTATATATTTCACACCTCACAAATAAACATATTAAAGTGGCACTCTGGCCACCATAACATCAGCTCTCTAAAGTGGTTATGGTGCCTCAAGTCCCCTTACCCATATTCACTCTCAGTTACCTTCCATTCCCCTTCTTAATTTTAAAAGTTGAATTTTTCTAGTTCTATAAAATTCTTCTTTAAAATAGGTGCCCAAAATTGTGCCACATTTTCAATATTGGGTCTTACCATTGATTTATAAAGAGGGAACATTACATTTTCATCCCATGAAGTATTTCCCATCTTTAAGCTAGGCAATATCTTGCTGGCCATAACAACTGTTTACAGACACTACACATTGTTGCCTAGTTTGTTGTTTATAAATGTTCCCAAGTCCTTCTCATTTATTGTTTTTACTAATCCAATGTCCCATTCCTTAAGGGTATATAACATGTTTGAGTCGTCCTAAACTTAAAAGTGAAAATCCAGCGCACTCCCTTATCT